CAACCAATCTCCAACCTCCGTTCTTCTCAAGATCTCCAAGTAAGTATATAATTGTATTCCTCTTTCTTAGTATTTTTCTTTTTTTCTTTTCAATGATTTTTTTTTCAATCTTTTCCCTTGCTATTGTATGTATAGGGTAGTAAAATCATATGTGTTTTTGTCTAGGATTTGGATTATGGTTTATGTGTGGTATATAGAGGCTATTTGAATTGGTTGATTTGGGGGAAGCCATTGTTGGGTTTGTGCGGAATGGTAGTCTAATTGGGTCTTTGGGTGACTTGGGGGGACATATGCACACTACTTGTTTGTTGATTTGCCTTAATGAGTGTTGAATATAAATTGTGACCAATTGTGCGAGTGAAGTCTGAGTAACCACTATTGGGTCACATATTCCGCTCTCCACTGATAGTAGTATTTATTGTGTAGGTAACATACAACTATCAAGGAAGAGACGCGCTACCGGGGCCTCATCAAGTGGTCATGGAGGCTCATCTCGGGGACGGGCACCGGCCAGTGCAGCTCAGTTTGATCGTACCAGGTTTGTCTCCAGAGCTGCCCAAGACCGTTTCAGTTTGAAGGCCACTAAAAACCCTGTACCGAAAAGGGGTATTGATAGGGCGTCCCTCCGGGATGAGTGCCCTAATATGTATCGGGAGTTGATCAGGCGCAGATTGGACAGCTTTTTCGAAGAGCCGGAGGAGGGTAACTTGATGCTTGTCCGGGAGTTCTATGCTAACTGCCCCGAACATGAGGATAGAATGTGCACTGTGCGACACACGAGGGTGGATGCCTCGATAGAAGCCATCAGGAGAGTGTATCGATTGCCTGAATTCAATGGGGAGGAGGATTTCTATGATACTTACAGGAGAGAACCCATCACATGGAACAGGTTTTTTAGAACTATCTGTGCACCAGACAAAGAGGTAGTGTGGGTTGTGTTGGGATCGAAGCTACACTCTGCCTCACTCACTTTTGAAGGAAAGTGCTGGTTGTACATCATCAACAGTTGCTTGCTACCGTCCCACAACACCACGGAGGTAAATGGTCCGAGAGCTGCCTTGATCTGGTGCTTCGTGAATGGCCACGACTTTGATGTGGCCAAGGTTATTCAGTCTGAGATGTTCGTCCGTTCACCACAGAAGAGGTATGGGTTCTTTTTCCCCTCTCTGATCACTAAATTGTGCTGGGCAGTAAGGGTGCCTGAGAACCCAAATACGGATGGCATGGTAAAGAAAGAAGCAAAGTTCTGGGCAGATAAAGTGACCATCGGGAAAGACCCGGTGGCAACAGGGGCAACTCATAGTGACGATTCTAATGCGTCGGAAGAGGGCGATGAAGGGCAACAGGAGGTTGAACCTTCCTCACCCCCACAGTAACAAGT